AGCAAGAAAGATTATTGGGATGGTTATAAATAGAAAAAAGCAAGAAAACAGATTAACTATTACACCAGAGGCTTGTTTGAATAAAGTAGTAACCAAATTTAGTATAAAATCTGCTAAATTTGTAAATATACAACTAGCTGAACTTATATTTCATAGTAAAATGATTGGCGCAAAATGTCCTTGCCTTTGAAAGTTTTTGTGGAAATCGTCTCTACCTTTCGTTTTTTGACGCAGAACGTCCCTACCTTTCACATTCTTTGCGTTGAACGTCCTTTTTACCAATTTTTAACATAAAATGATCATTATACCCTCCTATATAAATAAAACAAAAAGAAAAACAATAATAAAGTAGATTGACTATTACGCCAGAGGCTTGTTTGAATAAAGTAGTAACCAAATTTAGTATAAAATCTGCCAAATCTGTAACTATACAACTAGCTAAACTTATATTTCATAGTAAAATAGTAATGTCATTGTGCCAACAGCAACAAAAACAAAAACAAAAACAATAATATTAATTAATTATCATTTATGTGTTAACATGTTTCATGTAAAACATATAATTGGGAATTATCTAATAATAAAGTTGACATAAATGAAGATATAACTTAAGATAGAGTAAATATATTACTCATAATTATCATATTTCAACTTATAATATTCATAATTTTCATTATAAAATGAGAGAATTTTATTTTTTCAATGAAATACACTTTATTTGCGGGTTTATTTTTATCTTTGANATTGGATTTAATCGAATAGATTTGAATTCAATTTTATAACGGCTAGACGAACGCGTTTCTCTAGAAAATTAGGGTTACGTTTTAGCGACACGTTTTTCGAAGAAATTAATTTATATAATTTAAAAGTTCGCGGTCGCTACATGTTTGAATAAAGTAGTAACCAAATTTAGTATAAAATCTGCCAAATCTGTAACTATACAACTAGCTAAACTCATATTTCATAGTAAAATAGTAATGTCATTGTGTCAACAGCAACAAAAACAATAATATTAATTAAATTATCATTTATGTGTTAACATGTTTCATGTAAAACATATAATTGGGAATTATCTATTAATAAAGTTGACATAAATGAAGATGTAACTTAAGATAGAGTAAATATATTACTCATAATTATCATATTTCAACTTATAATATTCATAATTTTCATTATAAAATGAGAGAATTTTATTTTTTCAATGAAATACACTTTATTTGCGGGTTTATTTTTATCTTTGAGCTTAGTAATATTACTTCGGAAAAAAATATGATTAGGGCTTTTTTTTTTTTTTATCTTTTCCTTACTAATACTTTTTTTGTAAAATAAATATGATTTGCCATAACTTTTCAAAGAAAGAGACTGAACTTTTTTTTTTCCCACAAACTTTAATGACTTCTCAAGGTAAAATAAAAGCCAAAATATTTCCGACTTCATCGGGCATGAACCGTTTGTCATTGTTGAAGTCGAGTCCGTAATTAAACATGTGTCGTCTAGACAAACCCTAAACTTCCTTTTCACGAGTTGTCACACTTACTCGATAACTCTACCGTTCGAAAGTAGATACTGTTTAGAAATAGTTGCCACGTAATATGAAGTTGACCCTATCACATGGAACACGTGACAAGTGGTTCAGGGAATTAATGCTTCCTCACGCTTGTAAGGTGAAAAACTTTACCTTCTTCTTTTAGGTAGAATGGTGTGTTTGAGCGTGTGAATAATATACGTACAAACATAATATACACGTTTGTGCAAAATTTATTTAAGGCAAATTAACAAAAAAATAAAGCATAAGTTTTGGGCAATTCTAATCTATCACGGAACGAATAACCGTGTGTAGTATCATTTAGCAAACTAATGAACGGTGAATCTTTACTTGAGTTTGGACCATTTATCAATATCTAACCATCCATATGCGAATTGTGTTATTTGTTTATTCAACTTTAAAAAAGAACGTTACGAAAAGATTTTAAACTCAATTAATAGGAAGTCAAGTCGAAGTTAATATTATAGTTTTTCACGGTTAAGTCAAGTTTGAATAATCTTTCAAAACTATTTTCGTTGAATCATATTGCTTACTTGTTTCTCACGCAATGGCTACTTAAATCAATTTTGTAGGTCTACTAGAAAATGACAAGACATTAAAGATTTTACAACCCTATGATCCATTATCTTTTAGGCTTGAAGTAAACTAAGCCTTATTTATTCGAATCATGCTTGCAGTACGGAATTATTTTTTACAAAATATTTACAGACAACCCACATGATGAGATCGATGAATTTTTTTTTTTAAAAACATGTGAGGGCCCGCCCCTTGTGAGGGGGCTGTAAGGCCCCTGTGAATGAATCCCCTGTACATGGGGATTTATTCTATTTACTCTTGGTCCGCTTTGGCTCTTATTCTGAGCTCGTTGTTTTTGGCTTTAAACTTGGCTTCTTTTGGATTCTTACCATTTTCATACTTCCTGCCCTTGTCTTCATATCCACTCCGCATTGCTAGCTAAGTACTTTAAGCCTAGTAGGCACTACGGCTTGTGATTTGGTAATTCAAGAAACTCGAACACAAAAGAACTCTTGTTATTACTTAATAGTGTTTTTGATAAAGTTTTTTAAGTTGGTCAAACATTATTTTTATTCGTAGGGACCCATCCACCCCACCCACCCAGACAAAATGTTATCAACTCGTGTACAGTCATCTAATTCTTACTTGTAGAATGTAATGTCTTCCATTCACAATCATTCCAGCTAATCTTCCTCTCCAATCTAATGGCAACCCACTCTTCCCGGACGCCGTCATATGATCTTGAAAACTCTACCTCCTACACTCCCATCCCCGACAAACCCGCCGCCGCCTCCGCTCCGGCTGGCCACTGGAGATCCAAGAAGCTTTTCGCCGGCATTCTCGTTTCATCTTTTCTCTTACTCTCGTTAGTTCTTCTGTCTGTTAACCAGCAACCGGATCTTCAGACCAACGTCAATGGCACCAATCAAGAAAACTTTTCAACTCCCAAATCCATATTTCCGACAGCTCGAACTTCACCGCCGTCAAGAGGGGTGTCGCAGGGTGTGTCGGAGAAGACTTTCCAGCTGACGGGCGGTGAAAATGCAACCTACTCGTGGACAAATGTTATGCTCTCTTGGCAACGAACGGCTTACCATTTTCAACCAGAACACAATTGGATGAATGGTAATTGTTTTTTTTTTTTTTTTTAATACTTTTAAAACTTCTCTTTTAATCATTCTGATCTATCTTTTTTAATTTGTCTGATTCTTGTGCCAATTTTTGTGGGATGAATCTTGAGCATTCTTCTGCAGATCCAAATGGTACGTCTTCACAATATTTTATCTTTGCGTTTTGAATATAAATATATAAAGCAGTATCTTATTTCTTAACAGCTTAATCTAAACAAAGATTCTGAATTTTAGTTCCATCTTGTATGATTATATGTGGGTTGAAGTGGTTCAGAAATCTTAACTTTCTATATTCAAAATCAAAATTTAGATATCAAACAAATTATTGATTCAAGAATTGAAAAAATGTGTGGTGGGCAGTAGTATTTACGACAGTGCTTATCTGGAAAACAAAATAAAAAAAAATCCTATGATTTTGTGTTCAGTCTTTGCTTAAATGTTGGACGGTCAATGGGGCCCACATTATTTAGTTATCGAATAACTGTGCGTGATTTAGGTAACTCTAGCACGTGCACATATCTTTTATAAGAGCTGGACAATTGATACATGCAATCAAAGTTATTTATTACTACTTACTATTAAACTCTCACTTTTGTGCAACTTTTTACACAATTATTTTTTAATTAGTTTACTGATTTCTATATCTTGTATCTTATTAAAATTGAGATTCATCATTCACAGCCAATTTGAGATAATTTAGCCCTATTTTCAGAAAATGAAGTTTTGAATAATAATTTTTTAAATAATTTATTATTAAAAAGTTTTTAAAAAAATTTTGAGTTTACTTTTAAAATATTTTATTATTTAAAGTCAAATAGGGCCTTAATAGAGTGTGTATAGATTTTCGTGTAAGATTTGTTTGGTCGGTGTATCTTACGAGAATTATTAACTTGCACGTATTAAGTTGTAAAACTAATATTTTAAAGGATTAATCCAAACGTACCTCTCACACGCGGGATCCATCTCAATAAAAAGTAAAAATAAAAAATTACTCATCCCCTTGTGCGTGTGAGTTATTGGTGGCGTCTGTGAATCCCCATACTGTACATGAAACATGATTGTATATTAAAATCAAGTCGATTCAGCTCATTTCACACGATCACTGCAGAATTAGAAATTGAATGTGAGTTCCAGGTAAAAAAATTTTACGTATCAACTCAGAAGATATCCCCCGGTTCCGACCCCGGGCATGTCTAAGTAGAATTAGAATTTTTGACGGTAAAGACTTGAATTGTGACTGCACAATACAGGTCCATTATATCACAAGGGATGGTACCATTTGTTCTATCAATACAATCCAGATTCAGCTGTATGGGGGAATATTTCATGGGGCCATGCCGTATCAAAGGATCTTATCCATTGGCTCTACCTACCCTTTGCAATGGTCCCTGATCATTGGTACGATATCAATGGAGTCTGGAGTGGGTCCGCCACAATCCTTCCTGACGGTCAGATTGTGATGCTTTACACCGGAGACACGTATGATGTTGTGCAGGTGCAGTGTTTAGCGTACCCTGCCAACCTATCTGATCCGCTTCTCCTTGATTGGGTCAAGTATTCGGGTAATCCGGTTCTGGTTCCCCCGCCTGGTATTGGAGCAAAGGACTTTAGGGACCCGACTACCGCTTGGCTTACCCCGGATGGTGATAAATGGCGGATCATGATTGGATCCAAGGTTAATACAACGGGTATTTCCCTTGTGTATGAAACTGTTGATTTCAGAAGTTATGATATGCTAGATGGTTATTTGCATGCAGTTCCGGGTACGGGTATGTGGGAGTGTGTGGACTTTTTCCCGGTTTCGATGACGGAGGTAAACGGGTTGGACACATCTGTAAACGGGCCGGGTGTTAAGCATGTGCTGAAAGCAAGTTTGGACGATGACAAGAATGATTATTATGCACTTGGTGTATATGATCCGTTTGAGAATAAGTGGATACCGGATGACCCGGAATTGGATGTGGGTATTGGGTTAAGATATGATTATGGAAAATATTATGCTTCAAAGTCATTTTATGATCAGATTAAGCAGAGGAGAATTTTGTGGGGTTGGATTAGAGAAACTGATAGTGAAGATGATGATGTTTTAAAGGGATGGGCAAGTGT